TTGCAATTAATAATAGAATCGTGTCTTCCCTCGGCATGAGTCCTTTCTTCGCGGAACATGGATACAACATTGAACCGATTCAACTGGTAAATCCAAAAGATAAGCCATCAGCACCTGAAAAACGAGCACAAAACTTTGTTAAAAGAATTCACGAGGCAGAAGAGCTAGCACAGGCTTCGATGGCTTCGTCACAACAAAGAATGGAAGAATATGCAAATAGAAAACGTTCTGAGGCTGAAATATTCAAGGTGGGAGATAGAGTTTGGTTAAACTTGAAGAACATACAAACTCCTCAACTATCTAAAAAGCTATCTTGGATCAACGCAAAGTATCAAGTCACTAAAATAATCGACTCCCATTCAGTAGAACTAAATACACCTTCAGGGATTTGGCCGCGTTTTCACGTAGACTTGCTTAAAAGAGCAGCGACAGACCCCCTACCATCACAAATAATAGACGATGTACAGCCGCCACCTATTCAACATGATATGCAAAATGATGTAAACGATTATGCTTTTGAGAACGCCAATATACAAGTCGTTGAAAAAATTTTGCGTTCAGAGAGGACTAAAGTTGGACGAGGTCACTGGCGTTTACTCCTGGTGAAATGGAGAGGGTTTGCAGAGCCGACATGGGAGCCCCGTGAAAATTTAGAGGAAACTGAAGCGCTGGATATATTTGAAGCAAAATACGGTAAAGGAGATAATACTGGAGAAGACGCTGGCGCAATCATAGGTCGCCGCAAACTGACCAAAAGTTCTCTGTTGGCGAAGTCAAAAACTATAAATATTCGGCAATAAAGTTCTACCATGGGTACGGGGGGGGTAATGTTACAGGCTGTGGCCTCGTTTATCTGGAACCGGAGTTTATCCGGCTCCGAATAGGCGTTGTACCTATTTTGGGAAAAGCCTCGACCCTGCTTAGTAAAGTCTCACAAGTGACGCGTCGCGTAATGTTCATATTAGCCAAATCCTTTCGTAGCTTCGACTTTCCTCTCTAGATAGAAAATAAACTCATTTTTAACATACGATTGCGAGAAGCTAGCGTACCGTTCTTTTACAATATGCCACCTCGAGCAAGGGCTGCTGCAAAAAAGGTCGAAGAGGCGATTGTCGCCGCGGCAAAGGATGTCGCAATGGCTGAGGCAACAGGTTTCGGAGTGCTGGGAAATGAAGAAGAAGTTTGAGGACACAGCAATCTCGACGATGTCCCCTTCTGGGGCATCCACTAACAATTAGCAGGATACCGGCTGGATCAAAGGTGCCTGCTAACTCATCTTTCGCTCTCAGCATAGAAGAAGTAAACTTGTTATTTGGAAGGTGTGACAGACTAGGAATTGCGTGAGGAGCGCATTGGCTGGGTCCAACGTGGAGGAATCTTTTGGTTTTCGGAATTGTTTTGACTTTCTTGATTTTTCGTTTTAGTTTGATTAGCTGCACTTTTGGTAGCAATTCACGAGGTTGGAACGAGTTAGGCTGTAGGAAAGATTACAGGGAGCCCTGCCGGCTCCGTCTGTCCTTGACCCAATGTGGAAAACATAGCTTTAGCTTAGGACAAAATTAACAAAACAAAAACAGAGCTTTAAAGCCCCATGCTGGTTAGCTCAGCCTGTGAAGGGCTACCCGACGCACCGGCATTTCCTTAACAAAAATCCGATATAGACCCCACTGCTCTCGGTCCGCATGGTTGCCAGATCAGTGAGACTCTTCTTAAATTGATATAAATGATATAATTAGAAGCGGAAATTAAACTACATGTAGATGTTCGTATTTAGACAGCGTTGGTGTCTAAGTAATCAGGACTGTCCTACAAATGTTGGTGCAAATAGATCTTCCCCCATTAATGGTACCTTTGAAACTCTTCGAAAAAATAGTGGACTTAAGCCAGTCTTGGAGCAAGATAGCTCCTTCTGGTGAGCTTAAAATCCAGCGAGTGTCTGGGGGACGGGGGTGATTGGCTCCACGAAGCTGCGCCTGTAGTAGGTCATGTTGACAAGTCATGAAATGCTCCAGCGATTTATCATGTCCACAGGAGCATGTTAAAGGTGCGCTGTTGTGTGCGAAACGACGGTGGTATGCTGCAAAATCACCATGGCCAGACCGCGCAGCGAGAAGTAGGCCGAGGGACCGACGACCCATAATAGCGAGCTCTAGGGTGATGCGGGAGCTTGGCCCGATTCTGAGCGCTCTATACCGGTCAGGGGCATTTCGCGACCAGTATTCCGACGCAGAGGCCTCGTAGCAAAGATTGAAAATTCTCTTTGCTCTGGCAATGGAAGGGGCCAGGTCGGGGGCGGTTATAGCACAGGCTGCTTTTGCGAGAGCATCTGCCTTTTTATTTCCAGGGATTCCTGAATGCGCTGGGAACCAGCGTACAGAGACCCTTCCTGGCTCAGTGTATCTAGCACGGTTCCTTGAAGTCCAGGATCTTGCGAGCTCCCGAAATTTTGCGATCCGAGTCAAGCTGGATGGGGTCGGTGGTCCAAGGAGTAAGCGAGACGCTGTCTCTTGGTTGTCGAAACAGACAGTGATATTGGTGGCATAGTATGCCATTGGGTTTCTAATTGCAGCTGCGAGGCCTTCCATGGCCCCGACGACTTCTGCATCATATACTTCTGCTGATTGACCCAGAGGAACAGAGCCTTGATCAATCTCATTTTTTGCGCCGCAATAAATGCATTAACCTTCCCCTGCTGAGCCATCCATCAGAATTCCGTCTGAGAAAACGAAGGTGTCCAGGGGCAGTGCTGAGGAATGCCATTGGGTGAAGACTTGGAGCCCTGCTTCACGACCAACTGCTCCAATTGCTGCGAGAATTTGTCTCTTTTTGGTTTCCAGGGAGGTGAAGTCGTGTTCACTGATAGTTCTGGGGAAATTCTGCGCCGAACCCAAGCCATTCTCGGAGACTTCCAGCGCAGAATTATTATAAATAATAAATAAATAAAATTTGCGCCCATTCACCTAATCACATAATCCCCACTTTGCACGGTCTTTCTTAATACCAATCATCCTTGTGTCACTCTCTTTAACTTCAATGTATAAGCTGGCTCTAGCTGGAAAGTGGCAATATATCTCTTGCGAGTCTCCTCCTACTAGTTTACCCCCAGCTACGCCTCTTGTTCTGTTGTGGAAGTACCCTGTCTGACTTAAAAGGTATTCCCCTGTAATTTCTATACCAACCTCGTCAATTTCAGAACCTAGGATAGACAGGTATGAATTAGTTTTCTAAGTGTATTAGGATGCACACCACTGATCATGTCATTCCTAGTATCTTGTTCAAAGAGTTCTGTAACTGATAATTCTTACATTTCTCATTCACTTTCGGACTAGGACTTGCTGAGAGTAATTGTTGGAAGCTTAGTAGATATGACAATAGATTCTCGTCCCGAAATTGTTGACATGCATGAAGTAGTGCAGCCGCTTATGGTTCTTCGTTTCTGTTACAGTAGGTATCATCCATAGCCTGTAACATCCCTAGCGCATCCAATTCCATAGTATTTGCAAGCATATTTTGAAACTGGCCGGTGATCACATCCTTCGCAGTTCCTATTACAGCATGGCTATATAATTGCATTGAAAAGTCTGATGGTTGAATTATGCATTGCTCCTCTACATCACGCCTGCATGTGTACTGAAGTATTCCATGTGTAATTGCCCACTTAGTTCTATCGTTATGGTTGTATGCTTCTGGCCATTGAAGTAGTTCATCTTCTATGAAACATTCTCTGCATTCTGATTAGCCTCCCACATTAGCTGTTGAAGGTTGCAAGGGTTAGTTTTTGTCAGCATCGGACTGTTCCTGCATCATTTTCATCATATTGTTCAATTGGGATTGTAGCATCCCCAGATTGTCTATGTTCCATTTCCCTTAATTTCATTTCTTCGACCAGTTGCTGCATTTCCGACTGTATTTCTCCGTATGGCATCGATTCCTGGTTCGATAAACGAGTTGCCATAGAGTCTGTTCAGATGTTAAAATTATCCAAATTTGAATCCATTGTTGATTCTTCTAATCCCTGTGCATTGAAACCAATGATTAAAGATGCCCTAAGTCACAGTTATCTATGGCTACAACATAATCAATGACGGGCAAAGAATGGGATGATATAGTTTAAGTTGTGACAGAAACCGAGTTTGTGATGTATAAATCGATTTATTAACCTACATGAAGAGAAAATAAATCTCTAACTTTTGCTAACACGTTCTTATAACGTTTGGTTTGTTTTGTGAATATACTGGCTGATAACTTTCCCCTAGGCCTTATACATGCTACCGAGCCAAGTATTATCAGAAGCCATGGCGCTATGATGTTTCTTCGACCTCCTGACTAGTAGTGCCAGTTCATCTGTATTTGCCCATCCTTCCTCTTTCAGTCTTATCGTAATTATTCCTAATTGAACGCTTAAGTTTACTCCTAAGCTTAAAAAAAAGTCAGACCATAACAAATATATTCATGCTTCTTCATACAGCAAAAGGTTCTACAAGCAAATTTCAAATTGCAGCATGTTGAACAGCTGATAAATTTAGGCCTGCTGAACTTAGTGATGAGAACCACTGGATAAGAGATGACAAATCCTCCCCTTGTAATTGTTTCGAGCTTCACTATTTCAGCTAGAACATGGTGCTCCGAATGTTCGGCATGATCAAAGCTCGAACTTGAAATATTTTGGGCTTCAACACTTGTTATTTTGGGGCGAGGCAAAGATACTCTGTCCTAGAAATTGTCTGAGTTGGTTATAAAACATCAAGGCCGGAAAGAAGTAGAGATCTCATCATTATACTTTTACATTTTTCAATTGAACCAAAGGCCTTCTAGTTGTAGATCCAGTACGGACTTTGACTCTATTCAATTCACTGGACCCTTAGTGTCTAACACATCATTCGAAATAGTCAGTTATGCTATTTACATTGGAACCTGATATAATTCATCAATTCAAATATCTAACAAATATTATTAGTCATATCTTCATACGTCAAGAGAATGTGTTGGGAAACAATTACTTACGTGAATTTACAAGGTAAAAATATATCGTCGCCTGATCGACTAAAAACGCGGCTGGCTACGCCCACTATTCGATTATTTATGTTGAATATAACGAAATCATGTGGACCTGGGCCCTCTAGAAATTTGTAGCCAGTGATTAGTATGAAAGAAGTTGGAAAGCAACTAAATATCATGGATTCTTTTATTACCTTCCATTGGATAATGATGTACTATTTCCGGAATGTCGTACCCAAAACGAACGAATTTATAATAAGATTGTAAATCTGGTTTATAGGGAAATATGAATTGATTGACAAAAAGCACTCTTTGTAAGAGTGCAGCTTTTGTGAATTCGTTACCAGTTGGGCACTCGAAGCTGAAATTTCGTTTCATGTCAGGCACTGGTTCTAGAGCTGTTACTGGCGCTATGATGCAGAAGAGCGTTGAAATGCCGCTGATGGTGAAAAACTTCATTTTAGAATGATCCGTAGTTGTACTTCTCCCGAATCTAAGGGCTATGAAAAGCTGAAATTTGAAGATTGATAAAAATGAAGCACAGAATCGAAATGGCTAGTTGGTAATTTCAGGTTGCAGTTAATTTACTCTCTTTTTCAGCCAAAGTGTGGCCTGGCAAGCTCAATCAACCATGTTTGAACGACGGAAATTATGAGGCATTTGCAATATTAGTTTACCCCATGTTAACTACTTCTTATTACACCTTTCTGGGAACTGAAATTGCAAAGTCCCACTCGCCCTCGATGGTGAGAAATTGTCCAGAAAATAGGCTATATGACTAATCATGGAGATGTAGGGAAATGAGATTGGTCTATATGTTGGTATTTATTTCCCTGGCACATTTTAAGAGGGGATTCGAAAATTCGGAAGCTGGTTGCACTCTAGCTCCTTGACCTCCAATCCATCAGCATGAATGATAGACTTTGAAATTAGTGTGTGGATCTGCTCTCATTGTAAGTGACAAAACGCTAGCTCAAATATATGAAGGCATTTAGATCCCTAATAGATAATATGGCGCACTTGAAATCGGTCCAAGACATTGTTCGTACAATATACCTTGGAAATGGAATCACTGGGTGGTTTGGATATGTTGGCTCTCCATTTTGTCTTGGTTCCAAACGCGATCTCGTGTGTGGTGTAAGGATTGGACTGAGTAATAGATGGCTTGAAGTGCTAGCTTATTACATACCTTGACAAGAGTTCAGGCGACACTATAAACACCGCCATAGTTGGATAGTGCAGTGGTATATCATCTTTGCCGGCCTTTCAAGCAGAAGTTGAATAGCTTAGATATATATCCCCATCGAGACACGAGATTCCTGGTTCGAATGTGGCAATACACATCCACATTTTGCGCGGCGCTGATATACATGGATAATAAAAGCATGCTTGGATAATCAAAGGTTTCGAATTTATTTTTGGTGGGTACTTACGGAGGGAGGTTGCTTTCACTTGTACTTGTAGCGCACAGCGAGGGTAATAAGACCAACAGGCTGGTCACAACTCTATCCAGTCGCCACGGCCAGAGTGTTATTCCGGGAGAATTATGGCTCCGTTCGAAGGATTTGGTGTTGGATTCTCTGGCAGCACGCTTTTGCTTGACGACCTTTCTCAGCGTAGCGTGGGGTGTAGGGCGAGAGACATTTGTTTATTTAGGACGGGGCAGTGCTGGAGGTGAGTGCAATGGGTAATCTGGTGCAACTTCTCTCCTCCTCACACTGTTCTACTACACCCGGACTTAGCTCGACCTCAAGCTCTTAGGGAGGCAAGTTACTTTTTTGCCGCTGCCCAGCGACCCAATGCAAAAACCACTTCTACTACTATTCTTTGGTCGGCTTCTTCGTTCGTTCAGGGAATATTCTGCTCATTTCATTGTATAATATTTCAAACACTTCATGTTCTGATTAGGCCCTAGTGAACATTTTCTGTCCCACTTGTGCTACAATATAGCCCGCTGTTCCAACTATTCATGGGTCAATGTTAAGTCTATGAGTATTTTCGCTTTGTTTTTGACTATTGGATTGACACCTGAGCCTGTTGCAAGGTGGGCTGGCAAGCGGCTCAAGCAGCAAAGCGTATGGAAACCTGAACTCCAAAACAGTGATATGGATCAAGCTTTAATGCTAGATCCTGTGCGCCTAGCTTGCATGGAAAATGAGGGACTACCAGTAGATGTGAGTCCTAGTAAGCCGATAGCGTACCTGAATCCTATGCTACTCAGTACAGGCATATTGATAGTGTTGTTGTGATCCTAGTCTGCGCAAGAAGGCAAGGGCTTCATAGGCAAGACTCACTGATGAAACAACATGACTTAAGCTATGTAATCTCATATTAATGCATGACTCAAATGTGAGTCGTGCTCATTTTCAGGAGCTTAAGGATTAAACAATGTCGATACGCATTACATGAGAACATCAGACAATCAATGGACATGGCTGTAGAATAAATCGTACATGTATAATACCAGGTCCATTTACTTCTTAGATAGATTGTGCGTTTATCTTTAGATTTCCATTTTACCCTCAAATAGTCTAATTACATTCGCCCACCACCAGAATATTCATTCCCCATTCTTCTCTATATATACACCGTCCTACCACAATACTTATTCATCTAACCTCGTAATTACAACAATAGTCTCAGCAATATTGTGATCAGGTCTTCTTGTAGATCACACAACTGAAAATGGCAATTATTAAGCAAGTGTTTTTTTTTAATCCATTTATGTCCTATTTGAGTTTCTAACTATGTAGGACAGACTATTTAAATTCAACTTTTCTTTTTCATTCTAATTGGGGTTTCCTCGATTTGATATTGGGATCCCCATTACTGATTCACAATGGGAGTACTTTGTACCAAGCAAGTGTTACCAACAGGACAATCATTTCTGTGTCAATGGTACGTCGTCGGCACACGTCAATGATAATAACAGTATCTCAGATATAAATGATAATTTCACGCAGATATATCTAATCATATCATGTATGAATGGCGGAATGGTTGGGAATTAGTACAGATGGTGGTATATTTTGTGCACCGTCTATGTATTTTAATACTCGCTGTTATACCTCTGTAAATGATCAACCTTTTCACTCTTACTTCAATAGTCATCAATATAGCAGATCCACAATCCATATTATTCTTCTTCACGCTAGATGTAATGCGCTATCCCATATCGACCCACGCTAACTGATACATTTGTTGCGATAATTCTTAGACTTCCCATAACCTCGTTATTACAATAATAGCAAATCTCTCACAAGAATGAGGGTTTGTGTTACAGTTTGCTTTGTAGATTTTTTTTACAGACATGCATAGTGAAGTAGGGGCTAGAACTGGAATATGTGGCGTTAGTGTCTTGGCATTTAGACATGGTAATATGGAGACATCAGGTAGAGAATAGAACAGCACAATAGACAATCATACGATTCTATCCACTGATCATCAATGCTATCAAGCCCATTTTCAATTCTTGAATAGTTATTAGCCCGGATGCTCTATAAAGAATCTTGATTAAGATTTCTGGTTGCCTCTAACTCAATCCCTGAGATCCATCTGTCTGCAAATCTACGCAACAAACCTAAGCAACAATCAAAAATCAATATCTGACTGTGAATCTATGCCCGTCAAAACTACATGCAACGAAAGTTATATTCATCATTGTATTCTGAATCTGACCCAACAGTCACTCGAGTCACGGTCGTCCTCGATAAGCCTAGTGATTAGCTTGACTGGTTGTTTATAAGAAAAGACTCATGTCTATGACATGATCAAGGCAATACGTGAACCCCGAGACGACAAAAGAAACTTTACCAGAAATCTCGGAACCTCTTGAGCCTAAACTAAGTTCCTACAAACCCGATGTCATCCCGCTAGCTAATCTCGAAAGAGAAGATAGGGAAACATACCGTTGGGATTACGACAGATATGAACGAAGACTACTGGAATATCAAAAACGTATCCAAGCTCTTGCTGATTTCAACCTAGAAATTAGCAAGACTGTATCAAAGAAGCAACTTTACCTGACCCAAAACTGCAATACACCTCATGATAGGCTCTTTTCACGGATCCGTAATTAGAATTTTAATACTAATTTTAATTCGTGATAAGATGAAGGGGTAGTTAATTAAAGAAATCAATTTAATAATAGCTTCCACTATACAATTAGTCGTGTAAAAAGTCATGTAAGGATATACCAGAGAGTCATGAAGAGAAGGACAAGAATACAGCCATTAATGCGAAGATATTGGCAAGAATTGATTACGATTAATTCCGGTTGGCAAAGGCTTCTACTCTTGTAGATAAGAGTTCGACGTGAGAGAGATTTACTCCTCACGCAACGTCTTCTTTACTTATCCTTCACAATAAATTTGTTTACCCATCTCTTCTTCGGGAAGACCATATATCCATTGCCCAGTTCTTCATCAGCAAGACCCACGTGTAATATCTACTGCAACTAGTTGCCCATTCATCTCTTCCTAGAGAAGACCTGTCATCCCTTTGACCCATTTATAATCTTCACTAGGCTATACAACGCACCCCGTGGAACACTGTCAAACCCTCATCCTTGAGAGCTCTTTAGCCTGAAAAAACATCTGGCTCCTGATACATCTACGCATCGGCACGAAACTACATCAAAATACAATTCTCTCAGAACAGCTCCTGCTGCTATGAGTAAATTGGGTGATTGGTTCTCCAATTGGACATACATTACAGCAATAGGAAAGTCAATGAATCTTCCTGAAACTGATGGCATCAGACTACAAGAAGATTTCCTTATTGCTTGAAAAGCATTTGATCAAGAACATGCTACGATATGTCTTCGTGATCTTTACAGGGCTGAAAACGCTGGCGCTACTGATACATTTCCTTCTTTAGATGATTACGTTGCAGAGATCAAAGCATTTTGCGACGGAACACGCCTCAACCCTCTAGTCTTAATACAGCTGCTGCTGGTCTCGAGTCAGCGAAACCATTTAAAAGAAAACCAACTGGCGCTAGCAAGAACCAGAGTAATGGTATACAAATCCCCGAATGCATCTGCGGTTCGAGACATTGGCATGCAGACTGTTTTATCATAAACAAAGATCATCCTGAACGTCAGTCAAATTTCTGTCCAACGCCGGAAGCATCACACAAGGTTGAACAAGCCCGCGAGGATCCAAAGATTGAAGGAAGGATTTCTACACCTCTAAAAATTGGAGTAAGCGAAGTCAGGAACAAGAAACGCTCCAAATAGATGACGGTCTTCCACCAGCTAGCTTTGATACATTCGCTGTGTATGTTAGTAGTACTCTTGACGAGTCTGTAAACTCTACCAACAGTAACTGTATAAATACAAAATGTTCAAACTACCTATCTGTAGACAATAATCTCGA